AATATTCTGAAATATTTAATTGAAGAGTGAAATATATTTTATAACTAGAAATCCGTTCCGTTTTTGCTACATGGGACTGGTAGAGGAAACTTTTACGGAACGGAACTAGAGAACGGAACGCTCATTATAGTAAGAAATCCGATCCGTCGTTCCGATCCGTGCTCAATGGGACGGCACCCTTACCGCGTCCTGTGTGCAGGAGCCATTATATTTAATAGCATGTTTGACTCTGAGTTAACCCACTCTGAATTATTCAGCCTACGTTTATTGGTCAAACAAGTACTTATAAGCTTTATGATTGGCTAATAGAGACTTATGACCGGTATTCATAGTCGAATCTTATTTCAAGACCGTCTTAAGTAAGGTCTTAAGATACGAATACGGCTCTGTGATTGGTTCATGATATCTTAAGACAGTATTTAAGATGATCTTAAATATAAGATCGGACTATGAATACCGGCCTATAAGGCTTCCTTAAATTCATTTTTAGATGCTTTACGGATCATTTTATTGGCTATGGAGCATCTGAAGATGAATTTGAAGAAATCTTAAATATAAGGCCTGACTATGAATACGGGCATTAGTTTTAAAGTCTCCGTTACGAGCGCCACTGTCAATAACGACCAATCGAGTAGTAATGGATTTAAGATTGTGATAGAACAATTGAGTAGTGAAATATTTAAGTTGATTAAAAAGTTGATCAGATGGTAATATATACCTCTTATTTGCCTGTTGGAGTAAGGGATTTGAACTGTGGACATTCTGATCGAATAGCAGAACAGTTAAATATTGATTGCCAGTAAGTAATGAGAGTCTTTCTGAAAATATTAAGAAAATAATTTTATTTGTTTTAATAGGAAAAGTGGATTTTGTCCGTTTCTGCAACACGACGTGAGGTTATGTAAGTGTAACCATAAGTGTAATCATATTTTCTTTAACACCTATGTTTATGTAAATATATTAAGAATGCATTCATATTTTTACAACAAAGAGTATATATTTTTGTTTTAAGCTATTCTATATTTTTAAACTTATTTTCAGATCAATAAATGGTGTAACCAGTTATAATGCGAAGCACGTTTGCAGCTAAATTACTGACGCCAAGAAACTACTTGCTCTCGTCAATCGTCACGCGAATTTCGTTCTTTCGTAGCGCGCACACGCAACCGAAGTACAAGTTGAAAATGAACGAGGCATTTCTTCGCTATGAGAAGGGCAACGATATGTTTGACATCTCGTTCCGCTATATGGATAAAACTGTAAAAGTAGATCGTCAGTTCAACTTCTCCAGGCAAGCTACAGAGAGTGTCAATAATTTCCTCACTAGGATCAATACAAATGTCTGTAAATTTATTAACGAAAAGGTAAGGAAGACACTGTTAAATCTCTTAACAGTATTAAAGACACTGTTAAGTCTTTTGTTAAGGAATGTTTTCATTAGTTTTATCCTTGAATATTTATCAAAATGTTAAACAAGAAAAATATTGAGTATGAATGAATTGTAAGAAACAATTGATTATGTTTTTTCTAGGTAAAAAGGAAGAAAAAGAAGAATGCTGCTTGTGAGATATCCATGTTATCACTTGACAATGTAAATTCTGGAAAGATAATGCTTCTCAAAGATGATGTGCAGGTAGATGGTAATATATCCTGCGAGAGCTTATTGCAAGACTCCGCAGAACTTAAGCTAATTATCTTGGAGAATACATACATAGTGAAGCGAAACGTACCTCATATCTCCAGTATCGCATTGCCTACGAGCATGCTGGTGGGCTTTCCAATTTATCCAACTAAATTCGAATCACTATACACTGATAAGAGGCGGTCGATATTCAACTGGTACAGGAACAACGCTGTTAACAATAACCCAAATTTGTGGATACAAGTGAGCGAAGAATATCTGTATATACCTAGCGTGTCAGATATCGGCTGTAACTTGAAGATCAGCTGCATTCCGCGAAATGAGTCTGACTCAGGTTGTATCGTCGAAGTACAATCGAAGAACACCGTAGAGGCCGGCCCAGGTCCGTGTCCGTTCGAAATTCGGCACGAATTCACGAAGCACAAATTATCGGGCAAAAGGTATGACATTTGTGCAAGATATATATGCTTGTATGGTAGAAGTGCAAAATTATTTATATATACAGGGTATCTGAATATATGTCCGCAGGTAGTTTAGATCTAACTAAACACAAGTTTTGTTATTTGCAACAATATAAAATTCTGAATTATTAATTAAAGATGACTAGTGAGTAATTGCAAGCTGTGCGACAAATGAATTGCGATAGCGACGCGATCGTCGCGTGCTTATAGATTTAATCAGAGTAGAGGAATGTACTAAACAAAATAGGACTTTTTTGTTTAGCTTGATCTAATCTACCTACATAAGCAGTAAATTCACACATTTAAATTCAAGCAGCCTATATATATATATATATATATAATATATAAAATCTGTGTCTCAGTATGTAAAGTACTTAAGCGAAAAAATCAATTCAGTTTCAGAATAATGTCTTATAATATATTAGCGGACGCATACACCGATTCTGATTATTCCAAGGATGTGTTGTTTCCATACTGCCCGGAGTACGCGTTAGACATAAACTACAGAAAACAGTTGATACTCAAAGAAATTATAGGTATATGTCAAGCAAAATTTATCAGCCGCTTCAAATCGTTTTATCAAACGTGACGGATTCTATAGTGAATAAAAGACATTTGACACTCGTCATTAATGCTTATCAGTTATCGTTAGCCAGTTAAAAGTCAAAACTGATCTTTTACCATCTTGATTTATTAAAACAATTGTTGCAGGATTCAATAGTGACATAATTTGCCTGCAAGAAGTAGATCGTAAAATATACGAATACGACTTGTTACCGTCTCTATCCATGTTGAACTATGACGGCGTGTACGTTACGAAGAACGAGATAAGTGAGGGACTCGCTATGTTTTTTAATAATGAGAGATTCGAAATATTAAAAGTTGAATCCAGTGTAATGAGTCACAATGTAGATTCTCCCAGATTTAATGCAGTCTGGACCAAAATCGAAAACGAGAAAATGAAGGAGAGATTCTTGAATAGAAACACAACTATTCAGGTGCGGTACGCATGATTTATCTGCGTTATTGATACTTGATAATCGAGAAGACTGAATTTAACTTAATTGTGATTCAGGTAATGACGTTACGATCGAAAGATAATCCGTCTGAAATCCTGGTCGTTGGCAACACGCATTTATACTTTCGACCCGACGCGTGTCACATACGTTTGTTACAAGGATACTATGCAATTACATACATGCACGAAGTGGCGAACACAGTGCGGGAAGAGGTAAGCGTTTCTTTCCGCAAAAAAATTAATATTACTTATGCTCGCAGGGTATTTTAACAGAAATTAATGTTATATCCGGAAAACTATTTATTTCAACATTTTTATGAATCATTATTAATATTACGATTACAAATGTATTCCATTGTGTCAACAGAATCCCGGGTGTAACGTGAGCGTGTTACTTAGTGGAGACTTCAATAGCGTACCGGAACGCAGCATATATCGGCTGTTCACCGAGAATTACGTCCCGGAAAGCTGCGAAGACTGGAGAAGTAGTGAGTTAATCTCTCGTCATCTTTACCGACTTGTGAAAAATCTTGGTTTTCTTTTCCAAAAATTTTACTCGCTACCTTATATGCGACATAGTATAATCAGAATATGTATAATTATATTTCGCGAAGTGGTATAAAATTATCGCCTGTTCTATATTTTAGACGCCGAGGAAGTAGTAGAGAATGTATCCTTGACACAGGATCTTCAGATGTCCAGCGCTTGCGGCACGCCAGAGTACACGAATTACACACCGGAATTTTCCGCTTGTCTCGATTACATATTCTACGAGAGAGACAAGTTGGAGGTGGAACAGGTGATTCCAATGCCCAGCAAAGAGGAGATCACTCTTCACACGGGTTTACCATCCGTAGTATTTCCCAGTGATCACATTTCCTTGTGCGCGGATTTAAAATTTAAGGACTGATAAATATCTGAATCATCGAACAGGCCACGTGATGCAGTGATTCTCGTTTCATTGCACAGGTTGCACCATATCCCGATTCAGATCTCCAATTATCATGTCAATATGAAAATGTAGTATTTTTATTTTTACGTAATTTTCTTTTACCACTAATCTAATTTTCTTTTACCACTAAATTGATTTTTTATTTGCTGTATCATCAAGCTTAAGAGACTGGAATCTTGTGGATAGAAAATTGTATAATGTATAATTTAATAAATTAAAAAAATATCGACTCACAACTGGCACGTCGTTGAAAATGAATATTAGAATTCTGTCTTAGGATAAGAAGTAATTCACGAGGAGTGATATCACTCCCTAATCTTGAGAAATATAAAATTTCTCAAGAACAGACCACTTTACACGTACATGTTACATTAATCTGATTTATAATCATCAAAGTATACATTCATATTTCGGTAATACGAAGATACAGCGAAGTAAACCTACCAAAGTAACGTTACGTTTACAGCTAGTTAAAAGTTAATTTACAAAAAACTTATATACAGATTAATTGTCTCTTTCTTTTGCTCCTTCTAGGTCATAGAGGTCTGCAAGTCACGAAAAATCGCTAATTTTTTTTATCGTGAACTTTCTACATTGCTAAAATCTTTCTATGCTATTGTTTATTTAAGCTAAAGATCAGAATTTTCGTATACTTAAATTTTACGTTCTATAGTGAATGTGTAGAAAGTGGGCATTTTCCATAGCTATCTGAAAGCGAATTTTCAAAGACATAAAAAATCTATTCAATCAAGTCGTTTAGTCATATGTATCAGATGAATAATCGCATTATTAATTCAAGAGAAAATCCGTGTTTCGATTTTTCTATGTAGTTCAAAATTTAATATGACTATTCGTCAATACGATATATTATCAATGACGAATGCAAGCACACAAGGAGATTCTCTTATATAAATCGCCTACACAATTATTTTATCATTCAAATAAGTTAAATCTAGTTTGTATTAATTTGATTAACTTTTAGGAGCATTTCAACAATACGAAATTCACTTACAGCTCCAAAAATGGGATTAATTCATTTGGTCCATTATTTTCGACATGATAATCAGTGAACATTTTGATGCTAGAAATGCTAAAATGGAATTTTATCGATTGAAGATTAAGATTTCATAGTAAGATCTATTTTAAACATTTTGATCAATAGCATTGTTTAACTTGTAATCATGTCTTATTCTAATGTGACATTGCTCTAAATTATCCCGATATAAGTATCATGAATCTATAGAACAATTGTTTGAAAGAGATTTTTTAATACTTGCAGACCTCCTTTTCTATCACACGTTCCTTCTTTCTTCTTCGTATAAATGTAACCAATCTAATGTGTGTTCTAAAGTAATTCTCGCCACTATTATAGCCCTATTATAGCCATACCCTTAATCCTTTCCTCCCCAATTGAAATACATGATAACTTATTGATAACTTCCAAACAAATTGATTAAATTATAATCGTTCAATTTTTAATGTTTTTGTTGCACTAATGTTCACCACTAATTGTTCTCAATCTTAAGTAGAACGCATTTTACTACATATTATTACTATATATTAAAAGCATATGAATCTGCCTTATACACATATTTCATATATAAATATGAAATTTATTTGCTTTTATTAAGTTATAACATCTATAAATTATACAAAAATATCATTTGTAATTATTAAGTTCATGAATAATTTAATATTTTATTAAATTCATGAACAATTAAAATTGTTAATTTTGTTCTTATATATGTTTTAATTAATAATTTAGTGTATGAATTAAGAGTGAGAGGATTAAGGTCTTTCACTTTGTTTCATCATTCGTTCTATGTATGTATATCTCACTACCGTGAGAAACGATCGACTGAATACTTTACTATTTATGACATATTCTATTTCGATCGCAAAAATACAATACGTTGACATATGTGAGACGAAATGTTGCATCGCCAATAAATATCTTTTTAATTAAGTAAAAAATGTTCTATTATTCTTACGTTGAAACAAAAGAACGCGTACACATGTATCTTATTATAATAATGAAAATTGAATTCACCAATAATATCAATTAGCATGTCCTAACATGAAAACTTTGTAATTTAATGTTCGTATCTTCATAGAATTTTTGTCATTTCAGGTAGTTTTGCAGATTTTTTGATATAAAAAAAAATCATTAGAAATACATTTCATTGACATAGAATTTTCTTCACAATTTTTATGGTTTTATAATTGCATATGACAAAAATATATAATGTTACACTAACAAAAAAAAATTCAACATAATAATATACTTGTTAAAAGTAGCCAGAAGAAATTTAAATAAAAATCATGAAATAATTTCTAAATACACAAAATGACGTAAGATTTTTAATGAATACTTATGCATTAGAGCAATAAGATATAAAGTTTTGAAAAAACTGAATATCTTCGATTATCGCGAGCGAATTTCGAATACCAAATGTTATTTTATGTTTGGTGATTGTGCTGTGAGAAATGCTGAGAGATCGGACATATTGCTTTTATGATATTCCACTTATGTGAATTTATTGCAACAAATAACACAAGTAACTACCTTCAAGTGCGAAATCCGTTGCTCAGACTCTCCTCTCCGCCTTATAAACAAATTTAAAATAAAAAGATCCCTCAAAAATAACAAAACAGTGAAATTCAGACAGAAACTCAATACTATGCAAGGATTTACACGCTAGCAGATTAAGATTGTTGCTCATTCGCTTGGGATCATCACATGCCTCTTCGCGGCGCGCTTGGCACCAGCAGTTGTAGCGCGGTCATCGCATCCGGGAATAGCGAATGATAATTCACTACTGGTACATACGCAGCGGTTATTACGCGACCTGCGAACCACCGGCCGTGTAACGAGTTCACTGCCGCTACGGCTGTTGCGATCGAAGGACACTTCACGTATACGTTGCCTTGTGGTGACGCTTGATCCACGTATACATGCAACACGCCACCATGCTTGTTGCACTCTTCAATCACGTCGTCACGGATTTCTTTCGCCCAGTTGGGATTCGTCTCACTGGAAACAAGAAATTCAATTATGATCTTGAACAAGTCTCACAAAGTTAATTAATTCGTAAAAATATATTTTTCTAGAGAGAGTTAGAGGATATAGAATTATTCTCGAATAGAGAGAGTTAGAGAATATAGAATTACTCTCGAATAGAGAGAGTTAGAGAATATAAAATTATTCGAATAATTCCTGCAATAAAAACATGTCCTGTTACCGATAATTCGCATGCGACTGTGTTCGCATACGCATTGTTATTTCAATAACATTTTGCTCTAGCATATACGTTATCCCCCTAGTGAGTGTAGTGATACGTGACACTAGGTCTACTGATATGCAATTAATCGCGAGAGCTCGTTCAATACAAGAAAGACCGACTTACTTCTGTGGATCGAACATATTGGATAACATAAAGCATTGCGTTGCGATGGGAGGTGCAGCCTGAGGTGGCGGTTGCGGTGCTGTCATAACTGGTGCCATGTTTAAAGCATTTGCTGCTGCTGGTGGTATTTCCAGACCGGTGCCTTCTGCCAATTTGAACATCAATTGTAATCTGCAAGAACAATATTACGCCAAGTTTGAATTGCGAAGTTCCTTTTCATATATTGTATTAATTATTTTCTTTTTCGTTCACTATATCTCATATACCTTCCGGTTGCGCCGAGATCGATCCCACTACGATCCAGTTCATCTGTATCAAGAAGAGATGGTCCTTGAATCAAATCAGTACGTTCCGTTACATTTCCAACTTTCATAGGTCTACCAGCAAGCTCGAATCCATTTAATTGTTCCAAAGCTTTCTTTGCGTCGTCTGCGTTTCTGAACTGAAAACAATGAAGATTGTTTCTTGTAAAAGTGAAAAGATTTCAGACATTGATACGCATAAATCGCAAGGTATTGAGCGATTTAATTATACGATAATATTACAAAAACTTACTGTTAGAAAACCGTAGCCTTTGCTTCGTCCAGTTTCCGGATCCATGATTAACTGAATGTTATCAATTTTTCCGAAAGGCTCGAAAATTCCACGTAGCATATCCTCCGTGATGTTAAAATGTAGAGACCCTACATACAGTCTCATAGGTCCAGTTTGGCCTTTCGGCATAAGATTTGGCATTGAGTTACCCATGCGATTTTTCTCGGCTTGTGTGTGTTGTACCACGATGGGAACTCCAAGGAGCTTCTGACCAGATAAACCAAGTGCCTGCAAAGGGACGTTAAAAAAATATCTTTAGTTATCTGTTTTTTATCCTTTTATTAGATTTCGTTAAACATGCTAGAATATCATGGTTTTAAAGTTCAGAGAATCATGATTTTGCGAAACGCTATTCAACAGTCCTCGTTCTTTAATTACATAATAATTAAAACAATATCGACATATACTTACTAGTGTGACACTTTCCGGATCCTTAAACTCGACGTAAGCGATTCCTTTAAATCTCCGTGTCTTATTACAAGTGATAAGTCTGACATCCTGCACTTTGCCGACGCTGGAGAAGAATTCTTCCAAATCGCGTGCACGGATCCGTTGACTTAGTTGCATACAAAATACGGTGCGGGCATCCCGTTCTTCTGGTGTTAGCTCATCATTTCTAGAAATGCACAAAATAATTATTTACAATAATTGTCAAAATAAAGACGTGACACTGAAAAACAAGAGAAATGTCGACTTGTAAATTTGCTGCAGTGCTGTGCTATTGTGGAACATTAACCCATGTTGTAGTTACTACATGTGATAGTAACAATACAAGAGAAATTTAATATTCAACTTGATCTAGCATAAATATATCCCCCAATTCATAGATTTGCAATTCCATGATTGGGTCTAGTCAATTATGCATTTCAAGATAAGCCAATACAGACGCAAAGAAATAAGAAAATATGTTTTGCATACATTTGATTCTTGAAATATAATTTCTATTTTGACTTTTCTCATTTGAGTCGTTTTCTATAATCAGGAATTATACGACGCAGTGCAATTAGAGAGGCGTGTTTAATTACATGTCATCAATAATAAAAGTAATAGTAAGAAATCTTGTAAATATAAACTTACATTCCAAGCGGGCTGTGACCTTTACCGAACGGTGGTCGGGCTCTAGGAAGGGTCAGCGGTGTGAGCGATCTCTTCCTTCTTCTATCCCTGTCTCGATCTCTGTCTCGCCTATCCCTGTCTCGATCATTGTCCCGATCCCTGTCTCGGTCCCGCCTGTCTCGCGATCGCGATCTACGACGACGATCACGGTCACGATCGCGATCTCTGTCTCTGTCGCGGTCCCTGTCTCTGTCTCTATCGCGATCCCGCCGATCTTTGTCTCGGCGATCACGCGATCGTGAACGGGAACGAGAGCGATGCTTGCTTTTCCTACAAAAGAACAGAAATTCAATTAAAAAGAGAAGTAAGGTTCGGAAGTGTTCGGAGAGAATTGGAGATAAGTCTGAAACAACACATCCTGCAAGTAAATTAATAAAGAAAAAATTATGAAATGATGTGCAAATGTGTCGAATAATTTTGATCTTGATAACTGCATTAATATTTATGACAATTGCAAAATTATCTCATTATCGTGGAGTGCACATACATAAAGTAGACATGTGAGAACATTATTTTATATATTTGACAAAGACTTTTTTTAAAAGCGCTATCAGCAAAGAATGCTTCTTCGTTATCTGATTGCTATTAAAAAAAATTCATATTAAATGAATTTATATCGAATTAAAGTATTATTCTCATGATCTGAATGTTTCGACAGAGAGGCTTAAAAATGATATGAGAAACCCTGGAAAGTGCATTCTCGATATCACAACGCTTAATTTAGCCATGAGTCAAAGTTGCGTTACTTCTAAATTGGTATTGTCTAACACCGAGTTTCTCAAGACTCGGTGATTAGGCAGCAACCTGAGGCGAGTGCAATTTCGCAACTTTACATCGTTATACGATCAGATCTGGAGCTATTTGAGGAAACACGATTCGATTTATAAGAGGAATCTGTAGTACAGATATTCTTCCTATATACTTACCATTTTCTGGTTTAACCTTTGGAATTATCAAAATAACCAGCATTTACACTAATTGTATGGGGTCTATAACAAAGAGAATAAAACTTCAGATGGGTCTATTAGGCGATTAACGTTGCTTCATTTATGGCGCAAAAATTACAAATATGTAACGTCTCGGACGTGTATATTGCAAAAAAAATATAGCAATAAGACCGTTTCTCTTTATTTTCGTTCGAATTTAAAACTGATGGTACGATATCGAAAGATACACTGACACGTTGTTTAAATTTCATTAATTGCAAAATCCAAGTGTTTCTTCGTTTTAATCGCCGTATAAAAACTTTGTTAGACCTTATCACAATTATCAGTTGCCCCTTTATTGCTAACATTCAATGCCATAATGATGATATCGACATGAGCTGTTTGTTTCGAAAGTAATCCAAGTGAAAATTGCAACGAACGCGACAGGTGAGAGCGAAATGAACGGTTGCGTGCCGATCTTTCTTAGCAAGCCTCCCAGATTAGAGTAACAGTTTTGACACAAGTGATATACGAGAGTCGCCTAATTTCGCTTAGTCTTAACACGAAGGACGTGCAATTCGAATCTCGTGAACTGCTCTGCGTATTCTCAGTGTAACAAATAATAAAGTGAAAAAAGATTTCCTTACTCACCCTGATGATTTGCGGCTAGACCCATTCTCCTTGGAGGACTTGTCTTTGGACGAAGAGTCCTGCTCCTACGAACAGCAAACAGTTGAATGCCATGCCAGCCAGCCGATGTGGCGGGGACGCGCGAACAAGGGGACAAAAAGCAAATCGTAGAACGTTAGTAAATTTCGTAATGGCAATTATTCGCTATACAAAATATATATATATAGATAAATATATATATGTATGTATACGTATATATATATCTTTTTCTGTTTCTCTTTTTATTATGAATATCAAATCCGACAATGAATTAGGAACGGTAGACGGTATCTCTTCTTTTATTTTTATCCGTCCGTCAGTACTTCTACGGTAGCAACCTTCCCTTTGCTGCGGAAGAGCAATGCTTTTGATGCTGGGACAGAGACACAGACGTCGGCGTCAATTCTCGTGCTCTTTCTCTTTTACTTTCGTTTTCTTTCCAGGACTCTATGGGTCTGAGAGCGCTGAGGGGGAAGAGGCGAAGGTACAAGAAGAAAAGAGAGAGCGAGCGTGAGAGAGAGCGTGTGTGACAGAGAAAGAGAGAGAGAGAAGAGAGAGAGAGAGAGACGGGGCGAGCATAGCGATGCGACACGGTCGCATGCACCTGGCTCAGACTTACCAATCGTTTTATCGGGTTTTAGGAAATCATTGCAATCTTGGGTTGAGCATGCCTTGGTCTTTAAACTACCAATGGCCAACCACACATCCTTTTTCTTCTGCAAAAGAGAGCCCTCATCAAAGACAGCACGATTTCAAAGGTGTAAACGCGAGAGACGTGAGCAACCCTAATCGCTAGCCTACGATTGCCCGCGCGCGCACTTACTGATTACACGGGGGGAGTATGTATGTATGTTAATTATATTAGGGATCGTTTTAAACCACCTTCTTTTTTTCCTCCCGGTAGAGACGGGGGTAGAGACGACCGTGAACGCCTGCAAAGACTCGCGCAAACTCGCAATCGCGGTTTGGCCGAGTTCAGAAAATGTTTCTTCCGATTAACTCTTTCGTTCTCGCTGCAACGCGTGCATCGTATTGAAGTGTAAGCTGGGATGCTCGTATTATACGATATAACGAAGTAATAGCGTATCTTTTTTTTTTTGGAGTTCAGGCATAAAGAGCCGCTCAGTTAAATCGTGTTAGAATATTACTAAAATGATAAGCGGATTATCGTTATGGAAAACAAAAGCAGGTTCCTGAAACATTTTCTTGTGTAGATCTTCCACTTATCAGTCTTCCACTCCAGCTCGGTTGTCAGTTTACCATATTTTCACGTGGTCATTTGCAAAGTTGAAACGTAAGAGAGAATGCTTACAAAGTCCCTATCCAATTTCATGCAGCCATGAATCTTACAATATATATTTTTATAAATAATGTAATAATATAATTTAATAATGTAACAATATATATTTTTTTGCAGCGATTAGATAGTTGCTTCGACAAGGCTGGATAGGCATTTTGTAAACATCTCAACGATGTCGGATTTAATGAAGAATAATAATCTAAAGACAACGTGAGAATTGATCGCAAGCCTGACGTGTCTTCTATCGCACCGCAATTAAGTGTTGTGATACCTGATCGATGGCATTACCTAGAAGGCAAATTGCTATCATTACAAGTTGCACAAAATACAGTAAACAGAGTGTGAATATTTCGTAAAATGAACTCGCTCGTGAACCATTACAAGTAAAACATTTTCGAGAAACATCCTAGAGATATTGCAACTGTACCAGAGGACTGCAGCATTCTGACCATTTAACAACAGTAATTGCTGTTAGGCAATGTGTCTTATAGCTTTGCAGTAAGGAAATTACTTCTTTACGATTATAAATCAAGAAGACTGCTTAAACAGACAACAAGAATGGAAATTGAAAATATGGAAATAAGTAAAAATAACAAATTTCTAGTTTACAAATTGCGGTAAAACTATATCGGCAAACTCTATTTGAAACTCTTTAACATTATAGCATACACAAGTGTTGTTACATTATGCAGTAATCACATATCAAAGTAACGCTGGTGATTAAAAAAAAAAAAAGATTGAACAGCACAAAGGTTATATCTTTGGCTATCACGAAAGAGAGGATTAGGGGAAAGAGAGAGAGAAAAAGAGAGAAAGTGTCTACAATTACAAATACATCTTGTAGATATTAGTTTCCTCAAAAAGAGATTTATCCTTGAAGAGAGGGAAAAGATGGAGGGTACAAAACAGAGCATTATCAGAGTTGATATCAGATATGAAGAGTACCCTGTTTCTTTATATAACATATAACAGATAAGATAACGCGTTTTTGTTTTCTTTGAAACAATAGCGTTACGCCATTAATGTCAGAAGCATTTTCATTTCATGATAAAGAACCTTAAAAATGTTTGGCTTATTCAGTAAACAAATCTCATATAGCGACTTTCACCTAAATATGTGTAATATAAGTCCACACATACACACATACATACACACACTCGAATCAAGGTCTTTCCAGATGCTTGAATCTGTAACGTACAAATTCATGAATCTTGAGATCCTCGAATTCACCTGTCTCCAAAAATCATAGTCAATATAAAAATTTATAGTTCCTGGGTTCTAAAAATTCTTCAATCTGCATTTTTGATAAATTTTCAGTTGTAAATATTCATGTTCAGATACATACACACATACATTCACAGATTCTTATATAAGGACCCTGAGTTTGCTGGCTAAAGATACCAATATTATGATATGTGGTAAACAGCACATAGTTTCACACGAATTGTCATGATGTCACTGAGAACTGGTTCCGCTTGAGTATGTACCAACACAACAGCTACATCATTATCTACATCATTATAAGACATTACGCCTCTTTATATGGTCAAATTATAAAAAAAATGAAAGAAACGTGAAAATATATTGGCTAGACAGAAGTAAAGAAAGAGCGAGAGAACAAAATAATGAGAAATAAGTAGAGAATGATGTTAGATGATGGCTGTTCTTAATACCTCGTCTTTCAAGTGCATTCTAGGAACTCGCTGGCGCACATCCTACGAGCGCGAGGGTACATGTTACGTACCATCTATAAGTACAGAAAACGGAGGTGTTGATCAATGGTTGGTACATCAGAAACAAGGGCGTACTTTGTTCTACATATATGTATACATATAACTATCTATATGCACACACCAAAAAAGATAAAGAGAGATAGAGAGAGAGATAGAGAGAAAGAGTGATGGTTAATGAGAGAGGGAAGTGGGAGAAATGGTGGGTTCTCTTTCTCTCGTACGCGGCGACGAGTGCGTAAGTTAAAAAAGAAAAGGCGGCACGCCTCGCGCATTGAGATCGCAATTCACGGGCGTGAGAGCAAGACGAAAGTGATGACGAGAAAGTAGAACATGAGAGAGAGAGATATATATAGAGAAAGGAGACAAAAATAGTGAGAGATCGAAATAAAATAGTAGAAAAACAAGGCTTACCCCCTTCTTGTACGGCGCTTCCAGCATTGCCTCGACATCCAAATCCTCCGCCATTGCACAAGTCGAAGAGCTCTCTGAAACGCCACGCATTAGCACACCACAAACAAGTTCGCGCTGCTCGCAGACAAAAGGAGATGTATATGAGAAAAAAGTACTCGAGATCGAGATATGCAAAGAGAGTGAGCTATTTATGAGAGGCTATAAACGTACAGACGGCAAGCGTTCTAAATAGGGCAATTCGAACACTCAATCAAGATCCTAAACGTGCACGTAACCACTACGCGACGACGTAGAGAAGGAAAATGGCCGATACCGGATGCGGCTCGCGTGGGTAACCTCCCTATAAGAGTGACGTGAGCAATATGTGAGTCATTGAACGACTGATGTCGACAGAAAGTCAACACGACGTTATCACGATTCCCACATGGATAGAAAATTTACATTTTTCTTACTTCTGGTTGAAGAAAAGTTCAAGCGAGAGCGGATATGACGAATTATCGCGTGCGAATTATTCTTCATGCGACATTTGCACCCGGTATATTAGCGTCGCTACTTCCGGTTCATTTTCGGAAAGAACACGTCCCATCTAAGTATTTGTGTATTATGGTTTAAAAAGCCGGTATTTATAAGGTGCTTTCCATTTGTGTAAACTGTGTTATACAAAACCAATTTATTGGTTGCATATTATCTTACAAGATATTTTAGATAATATGTGATCAATAAACTGGTTGCGTATGTGTGTGCAAAGTGTGTTAAGCAATTGGAAAGCACCCATAGGCTGCGTTCGCTTTGAATACTTTCGCGTTGTAATGCAGGATTCACACCGCGTCCGACGTACGACGTCGATATCCAATAAAAGATTAGCTTTCCAATGGAGAATTGATTTCTCTATTAGAAAGCTGTTCTCCTATTGGATATCGGACGTCGTACGTCGAAATCAGACGCGGTGTGAATCCTGCATAATGGCTTCTGCACACAGGACGCGGAGATCATCTTAAGTACTATCTTAAGATGTCATAAACCAATCACAAAGCCGTATTCGCATCTTAAGAATTAAGATGGCCTTGAAATAAGAATTGATTATGAATCCGGCTTTAATTCTCCATTTTCGATGCATCATAAATCAGACGTTGGACGTCGGGAATTCTCCGTTAGCACTCTCGTCTACGTATAGCGTTTGGTAAGTGTTTATTTGCGAGTGTATGAACTTGTGTAGCCATTGGAAGCTCACTTGTGTATCATACACGTTGTGTATGTATACATATTAGGTATGGTGGAATTTTAACAGTAGTATTCTCTTGTTTATTAATAATTTCTTTTGATATGTTATACAAGATCTATCGGGGAACGATTTAGAAGGTAGCGCGATCGTGGCGATTTTGTAAGCGAATTTTTCGTAAATTTATTTATTTCTTGCTTTGAAGGGCAATCTACATTTCTAATTTGAAAACTAGCCGGAACAACTCAGTATGCGTAGGGAGGTAGTAAGGACGTATTCTTGAAGTTTGTCTTCTGTATTAATTTACTGGGGAAATATACGAGGCAAAAATTCATAAGACTCGTTATTGCATATTTCAACTTCAGAAATGGCTGCATCCTTATCAGGTGAGTGTGTGAAAAACTTTATAAATATATGTTAGGTTATAATAATTGTGTTGCTCACAAATACATCAATTTCAAGTAATAAGTACCAGTAATAATAAGTAAATAAGTACCAGTAAACCAATAATAATTCACTTCATAAATTATATCAATTACAGCATATTGGGTGAAGTTTTTCAAAGGCGCTGGCTTCCCTCAAGATTTAGCCACAAAACATGCTCTGGTGTTCTCCAACAATCGTATTAAACCAGATATGCTACCAGATTTGGATAAATCTAGTCTCAAAGACATGGGTATTATGTTAATGGGTGATATGATTGCTATCTTGAGATATGCCAAGAAAGTGGTCGAAGAGACAACATGCGAGAGATTTCTGGTTGATTCTGAAGATATACCTTCTGCTTCAAAGATCTCAGCGCAACCTGTGATGAAGAAAGTGGCAAAGGAAGTGGTTAAAAAGACAGCAGTTCTACCAGCTACCGTTAAACCTGAGTCTGCGAAGAAAGTAATCAAACCTCTATCTGCAGCAACCAAGAAAATCATAACCATAAAGAAACCAACTTCTTCATCAAATGTGCTTACCAATGTCGAGTATATTAGCCAAAAGAAGCAGCTGCCTATTAAGAGAAAACTGGTCTCCGATGAGATTTATGAAAGCAATGAGGAGGACTGGAGCATAACGGAGAAAAAAAAGATGAAGGCGTCGACAAGTGATAATGATGAGGACGACTGCGTCGAATACAAGGTTGCTGTCTCGAAGACTCCGAGCATGAAAACTCAACAGATAATCAAAAAGCCCGTGGAACAGAAACGCACAGTGTTCGACAGATTGGGCGACAGTTCCGTCACAAGTACGACCAACTTGGCTGACACGTCGCCCACTTTCAATATCACCGGTATCAATAACAAGGACGTGTTCAAGAGATCGGTCAGTGTGTTCAGACGCCTCGGCGAGATAGACTCCAAGAAGGACTGCACGAGTACTGCGGGCATATTAAAGAATGGCTCGAGTAATAGCGTTAGCGTTGCTCCCGGTATCCTGAAGAATCGAAGTCCAGATGCGCGTACGACGATCATCACGACGAAGAGGATCGCGACGAAAACTACGGGCACAATGCACGCTGATCACGAAGTCGGCAAAAAAATCGTCCTGAACAACACGAAACGTATACTTAAGGTAGAAAGGAAACCAATACTATCATCCGATACTATTTCGAGCGAAAAGAGGATCACTAAAATTACAATGGCACCTGGCAAGTTAGGTATGTACGCAAATTTAAACGTTGCATGTGTGCACGTGTTGTTCAAAATAAAAACTGATTTTTAATTGATTTTGGGCATAATGTTTGGATATTGTCTGTTTTATATAGAAAAATGTATGGACTATCTATTAGTAAACAAAAACCCAAAAATTATGATTTTGTGAGTTAGATCGTTCTTAAATAACTACGTGTAAACCACCAACTCTGTACTTGTATATTAGCTGGGCATAATACTCGACATCTGGATAACATTAGAATATTCTCTATTTGTTGCAGCATCAGAACGACTTGTCTCGATACCAGCCAAAGCGCGATTGGGTTCGACTACACCTAAACAAGTGACTTTCAGCAAAGTGGCGACGGTCACGCACGTGAAGAAAGCAGATGTCTTCAGTCGATTAGGCATATAAGTGCTTTTTTTATATCTTATCATTGAATCAGAAAACAGTGGTTTGCGATTGTTACTTTGTACAGAATTATTAGGTAGTTCCCTCCAGACCAACTGCCTTGATCGTTGGTTAGCAGTCAGTCGTGATTTATTCAAATTGACTTTTGGTTTTTTTTTGTTAGAAGGAGAATAATGTGTACTGCTAGAAACATCTCAGAATGCAAGGCTTGTATACGTTGCAAGAGAGTATCGTGTAAATATAATAAAATATATATATATTACGATTTATATATATATATCTTCTAGTAACATTTATGAGAATTATTCATGAAATGGAAGTTGTTTTTTTATTTACAAGAGTGACATTTGGAATAATTTAATTTTATGTAAGAATTGATACAACTCGTAATATACCTTTATGCGCCAAGTGTTTGGAATTGTATGATGGCATTTTTGTTTTAAAGAAAGTAGCAAAATCTTCATCTATTAACGCATTTTTATTTTGTGCGTTGGTTTATTATGTTCACGACCTTTTATACGCATAATATATTTCTGTATATTGTCGGTATATATAAATTTTAAGCATATATACAGACGAATGATCAAACTTTGTGTTTTTACATTGGTTTTATTTGCTTCATATATAAGCTGCAGCTTCCCGCAGTTTCCAATATTTTCCTTTCTCCTTCTACACAACGTAAATATTTTGTAATAAGCGGCCGGTCTAAGAGCATTGTAAATCTGCGCCCTCTGGCATCATCTGCATCGTCTGCACTTTACTGCTAAACTCTCTCCACCTTCCATCAGGCGAGTGTTGCACTTGTTTCATCGCGAGTGCAGAAAGTACAGCGCGGCGCGGCTAGAGGAGGCTAGGCATGTGGGACGCGCAGACGCATTCCGCTCTACATAAACATTTGTGCCGTGGCGGTCTCGCGGGAATGGCGTCGCCCCGGTCGATTCGGGAATTTCGCGCGGACCGGCGGTCCTATTTTAGCCGCGTGTGTGGGTGAATGAGGTGCCGCGGCGCTCGTCTTCGACGCTATTTTCGTCGCCCCTGCGTGCTCCGAGAGCTGCGGATCGGCGTACTCGCGTGCGAGGGAGAGAAGGAGGAAAGACGGAGGTTAGTTTCGGCCGATGAGCCCGGCGGCGGCGGCGGCGACGGCGACGGCGGCTGCGTACGTAGCGATCCGTGACGAAACGCGATTATCTCGCGCGCGTCCCCGCAACTTACCCCGAAAGCGCGCTGTGTTACGAAATAACGTAACCGGTGCCGACGCCGACGCCGACGCCGACGTCGCGTAGCAGGAGCAGTAAGAGCTGCTCTTGTCAATACGGTAAACGCGACACTACCGTTGCCTATCAACGGCAGTTTTGCAATTTGCGCGTTATCGTACTTCAGGATATTCGCGTGCGCCATTAGCGTTTACAAAACGCGTTATCGCTGAAAGAATTTTTCGGAGCGTCACTCGCCAACTAGAGAGAGAAGAGAGAGAGGAGAGAGAGAGATAGAGAGACATACAGAGATAGAAAGAGGGAGATAGAGGGTGATAGAGAGAATTTAAAAGGGAATCGGTGGGAGGGGTCTCGCTCCCCTCCTCTTCTGGCGAGTACGAGAATTGGGAAAGGAGGGATGAAGCACGGGCGGGTTGCGGGAGGAGGGGGAGTTGTGCACCGGCGAGCAAATCGTATATGTCAGACTCGTGGCAGAGGGGTCAGCGCGAGAGAAAGAACGACACGAACCGAACGTTTTCTGGGCTTAGCGGGTACGTTTCCACGTTGATCTCGCAGGCACTTCTCTCTCTCTCTTTCTCCCTCTACTGATCTCTCTCTCTCTCTCTCTCTCTCTCTCTCTCTCACACGTTATACACTTCTCTTTCGCTTTCAATTTCCCCTCGGTTAATCTCCAGCCCTTAGCTACCGTGATCGCCCCTTGATTTCGTCATTTTTCCCTTGTGCCTTCTCTTTCTCCCTCTCTATCTCCCCCTTTATCGCACCCCCTCTCCCCTGCACTACCCAGTACACGCGTCGCTGTCACCGAACCGAACGTACGCCGAGGAGACACGTATCGATCTCGATCGAGCATTCCTCCCGTCCGCTCCGAGAAACGTCCGCCGCGGCCCTCTCTCTCTTTCTCCCTCTGTTTTACTCACTCTGAATTCCTTCCCGTTGCAACGGGCGAGCGTAACGTTGTGTGACATACGCTTTGGCGTTTAAAGGAACGTGAGACACGCACACGAGCGAGAGGATGAACGACATGGAAGCCTACGGGGACGGATACATGGCACCGGAGGAGGAATGGGAGAGGGAGGGTCTCTTGGACCCCGCCTGGGAGAAACAGCAGAAAAAGGTGAGTGAGTGTGTTATCACCGTACGGATTTTCTTGCTTTCACATGTTTTCTTCTTCTCTCTTGCCTTTTTTCCCCTTTTTACGTTTTTGCGCCATCTCGTGGCTCGCGGGCATTTTTGGGCCCGGCGGACTTGGTCGCTCCATCTCTAGGTTAGACCTGGAGATAAATAATGAAAAGTAATCGGTAATTGTGTACACTTATCTTATGTCGCGCGAATTTCATGCGGAAAAAATGTGTCGCGAAGAAATCGCGTGAATTTCGACACAACTCAAAATGAAAATATATTTTTTCACATTGAAATAGACTCGCGGAAGTTTGGAGAACGTTAAGTCTCCGTTGCTCTCTATAATGCGCGTCTTTCATCAACGTGAATTAAACCGTAATTTGAATTTAATTCTTTGTCTGATTAGAATTTTAATTCAAATTAAGGCTCGATCGACGTTAATGGGAACGGTCATAAGAGAGAAAACGTGTCAATATTAAAAACTGGGAGCAATAATGTGTCATGCACGGTTGAGGAGAAATATTTATTTGGCGTAGTCATCGCGGATAGAAATGATATACTCGGCTCTTATCGGTTTCTACTGATAGCGGCAATCTTATCAGATATTAGGGCAATTTTGGTATCAACCACGCGTAAATACTCGTAGCCGTTCGCGTAACACGTCGTAGTAATGACGTGATGTACAGTAACGCTAATAATAACGTCGCGTTTATATATATACTACAGTCATACAGTTACATAGTCATTATAGTATAATATAAAGTGTATTTTAGTTTATTTTCATATAAATTCTTTCCAATTCTATTATATTTTTAGTAAGAATAAATTGTCACTAAGGTATATCTTACTAAAAAACACAGATCCTTATTTTGAACTTTCTTTTATCGATGAAAGTACCTCTGGAAGTGCTCTAAAAACTTATAGTCTTTCTGATTGGCTAGAAATCACTTTTAAAAGTCCTTTTGTCGATAAAAGAGAGTTAAAAAAAAGGTCATACCAAATTTTGTTAGAAATATAGCAGATTTCGCTAAAAACATAGCGAATGTTTTAATAGTACACTTCAGTTCTTAAAATATGAGTAGCATATATGAAATGAACGGATTGAATTACTGCAGAATGTTGATCTATTATACTATGGGACAAAGTTCTAAAGTAATTTTTAGTATGAAATTCTACGGAGAGGATATTGTAGTAAAAAATTGCAATACAATTTTAGTAATCCGGGAGTAACACTATTACAAAAATTCTAATAAAACATAGTAAAAATGACTATAAACATGATAATTTTTACTATATTCATAGTCACTTTTACTATGTCTTATTATAATTTTCATCATTTTCATCAATCTATTCCCAGAGTACTAAAATTGCATTGTAATTTTTACTGCAATATTCTCTATGTGTGTATATATCGAGTCCTCTCTTTCGTCGTTAAGTCGTCTGCGAGCATAAAATGAATCTCGGGTTACAGTTCTTCCTTGATACGAAAAGAATTTGCTGTCGTAGCGAATCTGTGTCTGTTGCACAATTGATGCGGGTCTCAATCGTCAATGATAAGCCATTTATACCAGTTGTCGAAGTGTAACCCGCTGCTATTCTGGGAGGGTAAAAGGAGGAAGGAAAAGAGACGTAAACATGATCCTCTCGCGCAAAAGAGCGGCGCTCGATTTGGTGACTGAGAAAACGGGGCTCCTCGTGCGCGTTCTCGATCAGCAGCTTCCATCCACAATTTCGTTTCGTTTCGCGCGTTGTCATTAAATATACTAACAAAGTGGAGCACCCTCGAGTAGCGTCGAGCTTGCCCGAGTGTGTTTTCTTCATTTTTGGCAGGGGCTCAAGGCTCTCTCCCAGGCCTGACTCTCACGTATATGTCGGCCGCAGCCCTTCGGATTGTATTTTCAGACTTTATGACAAAAATAATCGAGCGATGAGTCACGCTCGCCAACGGCGATTTTCACGGTTTCCCGCGCGACTCGCTCCCCTCAACCTCGTCGCCCTTTTCCTCCTCGTTATCTTCTACTTTTCTTTTTCCACTCCGCGATAATACGCTACGGCCGCGAGGCGGCGCGCTTCAGGTATTAGATAAGCGACGCTGATAATAGTTACGCGTATACGCCAATATATAAAGCGCGTCCCTGAGATCGCCGCGCGCGCGGCTCGACGTCGCGCCGACAGGCATTTTTCGTAACGCCTCTAATTTTAGAGATCCGCGTGCCCCGTTCCGGAAACGCGGCCCGAAAACCTGCATCGCCACCTCCATCGACTTCGCTCTGCCATCGAAAATTCGTTCGGTTCGTCGAACCGCAGGAAGTATCGGTGGTTTGTTTCACGTTTCGCTGGCAAGCTTACGCGAGCTTTTCCCGCCCGAGTCTATGACGGCAATGCGAATCGAGGAATTCGTGGCGGAAGGAGCCGCAAGACTCCTTCGTAAACATTTGTCGGACCTGTCGATTGAGCGAGAAATTTTCCCAGACTTCCTGTGTAAATCTTCTTCCCTGAAAAAAATTGGCAACTTCCCCATCCCCCTCCCCGTCGAGCACCCACAGCGTAAAAATTGAGCCAACTCTTTTGATTTCCCGATCTCCATGTTCGTTCGCGGCCAGATACGATTCGCAATTAACGAGATATGACGGGGCACGGAGGGGGCGATCAATTAACAGTACCGGTTAAAACCATTAGCGCGCGAATGATGAAGAAAAGGTGGTGGTGGTGGTGATGGTGGACGACGTTGTACGACGCGATCGGAACAGTCGGCTGCTAGGTTCGCGCTCCCCCCATCAGCCGGTCGATTAACTGTACAAGAGAATTTCTCGTAAAATCTCGTCGTCTCTCCTCGCGCGTCTCTCCGGCCGCGCCACGAAACGCATTCCGGCGATAGGAATTTTTCTCCGGCGTTTAAATAGGTCGCGGAAACAGCTGCTCGGCGAGCTTTCAGATTCAGCGCCGATCTCTCGACTCTATTCAGACGTTGCACCCGCCCTGTTCAATCCGCCGGTCCCCTCGATAGTCCCTTCACGTGGAGCATTATTGAAGCGATCGCGGCTTGTCCTTTCTCCCCCTCTCCCTCTCTCTTCTCCTCCTCTCTCTCTCTCTCTCTCTCTCTCTCTCTCTCTCTCTCTCTCTCTCTCTC